GGCACACAAGCCAGCAAAAAAGAAATCAACTAGTTCATTCAAACCCAGCAGGAAGGCCAGAGGTGTGTGCACAGGCAATCTATGACCACAAACTACAAATGTTCATGCTCTACAAGAAGGTAATTATAAAGAACAAGTTTAATTCCCCTAGTGCAGACTCAGACTCACTTTGTTATCGACACTGTAAAAAAGTTAAAACACCTTAAACTGACCTAACTAAAAATAAGGCAACCTATTACAGTCAATGCTAATTTAACGCAAACAACTGAAAACTTTTGTTCATCTAAAGAACTTAAAAATACAAACCTTATTCTTTCATCATGTTTGATTTTGATTTTATTATTTGCCTATTAAAACTAGAGACAAACATATTACCCTGATAGGTAAATATATTAAATCCCAGAGTTGCAATGAGATGCACATATAATTTTACACACAAATCTCAAAAACAGTGATATCAACAATTGCTAATTCAGTAAAAATATGAACTCTGAACCATGTTAACATCTAACTAACAGTAACAACATCAACAGCAAAATAAATTAAGCCAGTAAAATGAAAAGCAATAATCTTTTTTTTTTTAATAATAATTGCCACATAATTAGATCAAGCAGCAAAGCATGCCGGGAACTTGATTGTTCTTTCTAAAACTGTATGTTCAAAAGACTCAGATTGGACAACATTTGGACAGATTTTGAACAAAAACGTACGCATTTATTTAAGTAAGGTCACTTTTTTTGCAAGTTGGATTTTTTTACAGTACATTTTTTACCATTCTCCAGTGGAACCATAAAACAAGCATGTGTTGGTAAATAATGTAGAATAATCAGACTGTCAAGCTTTAATGTTCATACAAGGTCTTGCATTAGAAATAAGTTATTTATTCATACTTACAGTAGGTCTGTTTTGAGTTTTTGTTTTTGAAAAGCACTTTGCAACATCATGGTGGTCTACGCTATTCTCTTTCTAGAAGCCTCTCAGCTAAAACTGAGGGGAAAAGAGGTCTCTAATTGACTCTACATCTATCGGTTCGCAAAGTCCTCACATTTAAGTTTTTTTTTTATTATTAGTAAATGTGAATTAATGTCTAAGTCACATTTTCTTGGTTAAATAAACAAAGTATAAATCTCATCATTTTTGTGTTTTTAAGCATTTTACATTTATTCCAAAATAACAACTCAAAGCAGTAAAAAAAATTTAAAAATATCTTTAATTTAAACAATTATATGTTTTATTTATGAACTGATGTTCAGCTGTTCTTTTTCATAATAAACTTATTTCTGGAACATCAGTCATTAGAGCTTGGTGAGCTGGTCAGTGGTCACAGATGCGGAGAAGTTCCTTTAATTTTAATAAGCTGATTTCTCACAAAAAAAACCTCAGATCATGTTTTCAGGCCATTTGAAGTTTGATTTTGACTTGACAAAATGGTGATGTATATATATAAGTGTGTGAGTTGTTTACTTGCTTTTTTAATCAGTCTTCCCATTAACACCATTATATTGTTCATTGTGACTGATTCGTGAATTCAGAACAGACACGAACACAAGAGTTGGGATTTATCGCATGAACCAATCACAGCCGAACATAACCAGTCATATCCCATCATATCTTGATGGAGGCATTGCCTCCTCTCACGTGACTTTCCCCCATTCATTCTCAATTACCACCGCAGGCTTTAGGGGGTCTGTTAAAACTCAATGGGCTCAGGGGAGGCGAGAGAGACGCGGTCTCCCGCTGTAACTTTACCTGCTTGGTGTTGCTGTTGCACAGATTTTCTTTAGAAAATTGTGTGATTTATAAGCTTTTTATGTCATATTTGCATTGTTTTATTTTGTAGTAGTATGAATTTTTTTCTCATCCAAATTTTTCAGGACACAGTGCCTCCCATGCCTCCTTGGAGGAAACGCTACTGATACATATATAATAAAATAAATATATGTACTGTGTGTTTTATAGTGAAGTGGAGCACTGCGTTAATTTACATACGAGCAGCTAATGGTGCTCCACAACAACTACATCTCTGCATCTACTCTGTTTCGGTTGCTTATAGATTGCATTTGGGAACCCCAACCATCTTCCCAAACCTAAAGGATTTAAATGCTCCCTATGGTTTCCCACCAAAATGCAAGCTTGATGGTTTAAGGTTTGAAAATGATGACATGGATATATAAATACCATAAATATTAGTATTATAATTTTGCAGTTGTACTGTTGAAAAAATGTTGTTGTTATTATTGCATTATTTTACTGTTACTTTACTTTTAGTCATTTAGCAGACGCTTTTATCCAAAGCGACTTACAAATAAGAAAAAGTAATTAAAACTAAAAGCTAAAACTCTATAAATACTATATATATATACACATATATGAAATTAAATAAAAATTACAAATGCATACAACAACATTTCAAAACTAAAACATTTAAATGAAAACAAAAAAAATTAAGCTAAAAACAATTCAAAATATTAAAAGAACAAAAGGTATGAGTATAATAATGATTCTAACATAACACTAAGCCAAACACCAAAAAACAACTACATATGTGTATGTACAGCCACACACATATACATGTACATATATATATATAAATACATTCAATATATATAATTTCATTTCCATTTTGTATGTTGAAGTACTGAAATAACTCAAATTAAATGAAAGTAAAACTTAATAAAAAGCCTATATAGACATAATAAAAAACTAATAAAATGACAACATTACTACAACTGTAACTAAAACTAAAATAGATAACTAATACAAATCAAAGTATATTAGTTCATCAGTAATCCTAAAAAAATAACACTGAGGCAAACACACATGCTAAAATAACAACAACTTACTGACACATAGTAAGAAATAGTTTATAAAAACCTGAAACAGAAGTGGAAAGAGGAGAGATAAAAAGCGATACTATTTTTTTAATACTTTTTAACAGTGAATTACTACAACAGCAATATTTCTTATTTTAATATTTTATTATTATTAAAATTAAAATATTATTATTTTTTGAACGCAACCTAGAGCTTAAAAACAAACATATTTTGAAATCACAATTTTTCCAGAAAAATAATTTTTCTAAAATCGTGCATGCCTAAAATCTTCAGTGTATTATTCTGTTAACACAGATTTTTTTTTTTTTTGTATAAATAAAATGTGACAATCCTGGGTGGCCAATTTGTAGGTCAGTCCTGTGCGTCCAGAATAAGATGCAACATGGACAAGCGTGCCTTAAAGCTAAAGGTCATGTCATCTTCCATAAGATATCATGTTAACAACTCTGATATTGTCAAATCAGCTTAATTCACACCTCGGCTTCATAGTAAACTTCACAGGCAATGTGAGACGGCCAATTCTCACCTCAAACATCTTTATTTAGAAATGCTTACAGGCTGGCACTTTGAGTAAGCATGGTCAATCATTTTTAATCCCTCCATATGGAACCTGCAATCAAGATAGACTGACTCGCTCAATCAAGCTTCACAAACAGACGTCAGGCCCTGAACTTCCGTTATATAAAATACAATATTAATGTAATTAAACAGCTATACTTGATACTGCTGGTGTGATTGACAGAAAGCAAAAACTGTCTGAATAGTGCCAAGCCAAGTGTAGCTGATACAGGACTGAGCTTCCATGCAACGATTTGACTCACATTGTTATTTGCTCTGTGCTTTTTTTAGTTTGTGAATTCAATTCTGACAGGCAAACAAGCCTGCGACATGAGTAAGACAGGCAGTACAACAAAGCAAGGACAATACAAAAGAACGCTGCACTTCCCTCAGCAGTCTAACATGAACGCTTGAAAAATAAAAAATAAAACAAACACAGAATGAGCCTGCCCACACAAATAGTCAAAGAGAGAGAGTGAGCGAGCAAAGAGGAGAGGAAAGTAAGAGTGAGGTGGCTGCCTGTCATTGCTCTTCTTCTGCAAACTGTATAAGCTTCAATTGTTATGTAACCTATGATTTAACTCTCAAATCTAGAACTAAAATTAGAGATGATAATAGATTCCACCACAGGCAAATTTCTAACTGGACGTTACAGTTGATAAAACATCATACTTCCAATTCTTTTCACAATGCCTGAGACCAGCACCACAGATCCAATGGGGCGTTTTGAGTCAATTATCCAATTTCCTGAAATTACCTTTGGTCACACATGGGGAATGAGAGCAAATGTGTAAAAAAAAAAAAAAAGACCTGGATTAGGACCATGTGAAGAGAAGAGAGCAAGTGAGATGGTTTAGTCACACTGCCAGTGGCCGGGTTGGGGTTGAGGCCAAAAGTTAGTGCACAGTACTGTGTAATCAAGTGGGCAAGAAAAAAAAATTAAAGATTGATTTTAGCCCTGCTAAAGCCAGTAACTCTGACTGGGACTCTGGTCAAAGATTTTTCTGCAGGGCTGTGACTCTGGTAAAGGACTTTACAGGATGAGAGGAGGAAGGGGGAAAGCAAATGGGGCTGTTTGGTACAAAGAAGGAGAGTCAACACTGTAAAAATGAAAAGACCAACTGGGGCTCCTCACACTGCCACACTGACAGATATCTGTAAAGCAGCGATTCCTCACCAGAAGTATGTGCACCCAACGAAGTAGAGATTTAGATTTTGCTTTGTTGAAGTTATAAAACAGAAATGATCGGAAATTAAAAGAAAAATAAATGATTTTTTAAAATTGTTTAATAATTTTTAACAGGACAATATGAGGGCAGTCAAACCATCCTTAATGTTTTTTAATACTATTATTCTTTATTCAGTATGTCCCATTTGGTTTTCACTGGGAAAGTTTCTGCATGATTAAAAGAACAGTCAGAAAAGGTAAAAGACCAACAATTACATATGCAAGTGCATCAAACATGTCCCTTATAACGGGTCTTCATTTTTTCAGTGAATAATTTCAGACTCAACAGATCCAGAAAAGATTTCTTACGACGTGAAATGTTTAAAACTGCCAAAAACACACGTTCACTCACACACACTAAGACAGAGATCACACATCACCTTTACTGCCTCTCCATGAGTGACTCGGTCAAACACCATGTTATTGACTTGCATGATCTGGTCTCCAACTCTGAGCCCCTCTCTCTCAGCGGATGATCCCGGCTCCACCAAAGACACATAGATGCCAACTCCATGCTCTGACCCACCCCGTATGCTGAATCCCAGGCCTTCGTGGCTCTTGCTCCTTTTCAGCGTAACTTGACGGATTTCATCAGGCGCTTCCTGCATCTGCGCTGGCGCTGTCCCCTCAGCCGCGGTGCTGAAAACCAGAGCCTGGCGCACGGATCCGTGACTAGGACCGGTCTGCTCGGACTCGTGCAGAATGTGCACGGAGGATGCTCCAGCATGCGCGTTCGTGCTGCTGAGGTCTTCCGAGCACTCGTGCTTGACACTGGCTGCCAGCAGATCCGTCTTCAGATAAAGCCCTTCCGATGTGTACTGGTCGAACAGCAGCTGGTCCGAGCGGGGTATGACCAGGCGCAGCATGGGTAAGAGTTGGCGCTTGTTGGGTGTGTTGAGAATGACTTTGAGAGTCTGCACGAGATCAAAGACATTGCGTTTGGCGTGGTAAACGTTGAGACAGTGGATGAACTGCTCCCTTTCGAAGTCGTCGAGCAGCACGTTGAGCGCGTTGTGCAACTTCTTGACGTTAACGGAAAGCGCGCGGCCACCGGAGCCCAGGGAGTTCGCGCCCGACTTGAGAGAAGCGCGCTCCAGATCCGTGCTCATTCTCGGACACCTCAAAACCACAGGGGGATTTCACATCAGGCATTAGGAACAGAGCACGGTCACTGCCTCTTGCTAAAAACAGAAGCGCACCGCGATTCGTGCGTTAAACCAGTGGTGAGAGCAGCCATGCTGAGTTGAGTCTTCAAACTAACAACGCAGAATAGCTAGTGCAATGCAGTTTCGAAACTTTTGATTATTAATGAAATTGGTTTAATAATCACTTTGAATAGTGGAAAAAGTACACTGTTCTTCCAAAGGCAAACAACAAACCCGAATTAAGTCCCGCGAGGATTTGACGTCCGTTATAGTGACTTTAATCCTTTTGGTAACACACTGTGCGATGAGAAACGGGTGGAGAGACGCGTCCGGCTCCGAGAAAGAAACTAAAACACAGCAAGAACGTTTAAAGTTTGCCAGCTGCGCTCAGAAGAGCAGCGCGTCTGGTCAGTGTGGCTCGCTCGGATTGCTTGTCGCTACTACTGAGTCCGTAATGAGATACCGACCCGGCGCTCTGGAGGAAATGACGCACGCGCGAGGCGCCTCTGTTGCTTAGGAACAAACAACTGTGAGGAACGCATTTGGACAAACTAAACCACATTTTTCCTGTGCGTGAGCTATTTTTAATGTTCAAGGCCCACCAGGCTATTGACGTTAATCAATTGAAAAATAAGTCGTTTCCAAAGAGCATTGCGCACTTAACGTAAAAGTTCTCAAAGGGAAACACAGTCGAAACCACAGCCACCTGATTTCAACTTTACACGAATGTGTCATAGGCAGATCCTCTCAATGTTATTCATTCATTCATTTTTTTTGTTTTAAGGTATCATGTACATCCAGCCTGTCATTGTTTAAAAATAAACAACGATAGGGCGATAACATTATGACTGGCTCTGGCTGTCATGCCCCATGAAATGTTGATTTGATTTGTAATAAATCATTATCTTGTAGATTAGCGCTTATAGATTCTGCTGGCCTAGCAACAACCCAGCTAACAGGAGACGTTCTCAGAACGTTGGTTAACATTCTGTCAAGGTTCTCCAAGGTGATCATTCTTTCAGTAACGTTAATAGAATGTTCATTCAAAGTTAAATATAAACTGGTCTTATATAAAGTTACGCAAAGTTTATATATGTATTATTTACATTGTTTATAGAATGCATTTGAAACATTTTAGTTGGACATTCGTGGTCGTCAAAAGTAACACTTCCATAATGTCTGTAAAATAATAAAATAGAACGCTCCCATAACCAAGACATACTGGACATTTTGAAAGTTCAGAGAACATTTCATAATTTAATGGTAACGTTAGCAAGAAGTTCTTAGAACATATTTATTTTAGTTGTCGAACACTGCAACATACTTATGATTTAATATTTAATTAAAAAAAGATTAATTTATCAATCTGCAATGAAACATAAAAATTGTGCCAGTATGGCAATGGTGGAACATCCCATTTAGAGATCAAAAATATTTGACCTAGCAAAGCCACAACTGACCAATCAGAATCAATCGTTCCAGAGCCATTAAATACAGAAAAACTTCCAGAATCGTAGTGACCTAAATACATTTTTCAGTAATGACTAATGAAAACCAAACCTGATTATGATTGACATTTTCCTTTGGAACACTTTAAAAAGAAATATCTCAGTGCAGATGAAATTCTAAAGGCCCTTACATTTCAATCTTACAGTTGATTTCTTATCCTAAGTTAAGACGGGGCAGTGAAAGCTGTTTTGAACAGATTTACAAAACGAGGGCAGTGTTTGGACGCATTTATGTGTGTGTGTGTGTGTGTGTGTGTGTGTGTGTGTGGTTTATTTGAGAGAGTTCCATTTATACCTGAAGCTCTCTAATCCCTTGTGTCTGCCTGGGAAAAGAGAGTAATATCACATCTAAAACACAGCTTTGCTCAAATCAGGGTGGTGTTTTGAGAACCCAACTCTCACAGAGGCTGTGTCTAATACTGCATCTGCTGAGAAAAGCTGCATAATCCATACTGCACATTCATGGCAGTCCATGAATTGTTTTAAACAATAATAATTATCCTTATTATGTAGGCTGTCTAATGTGCTCAAAAGGCAACCAGCAAGGTTTTAGGTCAGTCTGTGGATTTCAGCTGCTGTGGAAGCTCAGTTAAAACACACGTGTCATCCTCTAAGCTCATAAAGAGGAATTAGAAAGGCCTGTCAGCAGACATCCACAACCTACAGTTCACCAATAGTCTCACTGAGGGCTATTAATAAACTCATATGGACAGACTGTTGCTCCCTTTAAGGCTGTATTTAACCTCATCCGTTTCTGCATTGACCCAATTTCAGTTTTAATGTAGTGCGTTTTACTGGCCCGACAACAACAAAGTGCATTTGTTTTGCCAGGGAGACTGTATATATCGGTGCTAAATAAAATGATTAAAAATATCAATAATACAAATTAAACAAAACAGAGTGCAGCATAATAAAATAAACGTGAACGTACTAAACATTAAAATAAATGAAAGCAGCCTCAGTAGTTAAATGACTGACTTAAAATGATAATGAGACTAAACATCTATAGACCCTTTCAACTGAAATTTCTTCATTCTTCCAGGTGTCCAACCCACTGATTTACAGCCCTTTAAGATGGTGACATTGCGGCAAAAGAGTCAAATTCATTGCTAATTTGCAATTACCGCTCTTGGCATCAGCGCATGGTGGCAGAAATTAATGAACAATTAATGGGCCTAAATGAGACAATAGAGATGCTCATTGATCTTTATGCACTGTATAAGTGATTACACTTCAGCTGTAAGTCACGCATAACTATGACTCACTTACCAAAAGCACACATACACACTCAAAAGTGCTCCAAAATGTATGCCAGAAATTCAATTAAGTGTTAAAATACCAAATATCTTCCCTTGTCCTTTCTTTCTCCGTTCGTGTACGCGTGTTTGTGAGAGTGATTTAATGAAGCTGTGTGGTTGGGTTGGTTTAACCTAATTTGAGTAACTCCTGTTCTCTTGGCTTAAAATTCCCCATGCACCATCATAGTTGGCTGTTTTCTGCTGTCTGCTTTCTTGATAAAGAGTCCCACATTATCTTTTGAGTACAGAGCAAGTGACGTACAGAATAAACAACTAACTTTTATGACGGGTTGCTCAGTCAAGGCCATTAAATTGCAGCCGTTGGCTGTGCTACACAAAGACCCAAATACAGTTCAGTTACAACTGACAGAAGCTTGTTTTGACGCTGAAACATGTTAAACTGTATAACTCCCTGACACTTATACAACAGCTCATAAACACGACGCCAAATTTCACTCTTTGACAAATAAAAATCCAGGAACAGAAGGTAGGAGGGGAAGAACTGATCGGTAAACGTTGGGTCAGAATGCGGTACGGCTTTGATTAATAGCAGATAGTTTAATGGGAATTGAGGGAAATGTGCGTCACGCTGGGCTCTGCCAACCCCATAATTACAGCAATATAAAAGAGCAGAGGGATCGTATGCTGCAGTGCCATGCCCAAGTGCCCAGTCTGACAGAGCACACCACGCCATTAAACACTGCATTACAGATACCTCGCTGAGGTGTATTCAGCTCTCACTACAGGACAAGGGTGATTTAAAAGCCATTTTATGACATCTGACCAAGTCAGAAATAAAATCTGCCAGCGGTGTGTATTGTATGGGTGTGATGCAAGTTAAATCATCTCTTTTTGCTGCACTGCTGTTCAGTTTGTATATGATAGATACCATGTCAGCTGCAGGTTAAGAAGAGGTGGGTGGCAATGATGTAAACTAAAGCTGGCATCCCATGGAGCATTATTTAAAACTTTGGATTTGGCCTCTAGCCGCCCTGTTTTGTGATCTCAAAAAGTACCTGAAATTCTCACTTTTCTATTAATATTAAATGAACTCACTCTGTAAGGCGAGCCAGGAGTTTCCAGTTGGCATCTAATTTAGACAGAATTTGGATGTTCTGGTACCATTATACGTAATATATTTCAGACATCTTAAATTCCCTAATGATATTATTTTCCAGTTAAAAGCACTTAAAGACTGCTGTAATCTCATTAAGTAAATGGAAAAATAAATCAAGGAAAATGTTATTATGGAAAATTCACATTTAGAACAGGAAAAAAAAATATGGAGAGGAGGAATTATTTTGATTTCAAGTTTTAAAATGTATGCTCAAAAGTTATTGTGATCATGTTCATTGAGACAGCAGTTAGGCACAGACACATTTTGGCATGAAGATAAATACTGTCATTTTTAACAGATGGACCCCTTGAGACTGTCGATGCACATGAGAAAGTTCGTATTCACTGAAGGCTAATACAGCCACTGTTGATGTTTAGAGGCTGTGTCAATCTGTTGATGCCCCACTGATGCTGTCTGTATCCCGATGAGCAAAACTTTGAGGGAAGATGCCGATATTTCCAGCAACGTGTCCTTCTAACCACTCATCATTCACTGCAAAATGGAAAAAATACTTGTCTTACCCCATCACTTGTGTGTAACATTAATAACAAAATTTATAACAAAAAGATACCCCTGTGTTTATGTACCTTCACTCAGAATGTCAATTGTGTCGCCTTCACTGAATTCCAAATCCTCTGGGCCTTGTGCATTGTAGTCATACAGTGCCACCATCTGATAGAGAATGGCCCTGTTGGCCAGAGGTTCCTCGTTCTTGGGACAAGATGGAAAAAACAGGTTGCCAAAATATAAAAAATTGCATAATTGATTCATAATAGATCAAAGTTCATGGAGTTTAATAAAAGGGTAAAGCATTTATAGGTTGATTTCCTCAAATGGTGTAAACACTGTGACTGTACAAGCACTAGCTAAATCACTGGCAGACATTTTTGGCAAGATAAGCTAACTAAACTAGAATTTAGCAATTCTGTTTGGTGACAGTAGTGGTACAAAAATTATATTAAAGGGATAGTAGACCCAAAAATGAACATTTTGTCATCATTTTCTCACCCTCGTGTCATTGCAAACCTGTATGAGTTTCTTTCTTATGTTGAACATAAAAGAAGATATTTTGAAGAATGCTGGTAATCAAACAGTCGACGGTCCCCATTGACTTCCATAGTATTTCTTTCCCTACTATAAAAGTCAATGGTGACCAACAACTGTTTGGTACTTCAAAATTCTTCATAATATCTTCTTTTGTGTTCAACACAAGAAAGAAACTTATACAGATTTGGAACGACATAAGGGTGAGTAAATGATGACAATTTTCATTTTTGGGTGAACTATTCCTTTAAGTCACCGATAGCTGTCAGTCAAAAATGGCAATTAGTTTACCTGACACCAAATTTGGGCACGTCCGTATTCAGCCACACCCTCCAGGCTATCCAGTCTATCATCACCATTTAGTGGTGTTAGTGCTCTGGTGCCATTCCTTCTGTGTCTGTGAGAGGAAGTAGTAGTGTGTGTTAGAGATGGTGTGGGGGTTTGTACAATGAAAAAATGTGACCAGACTTCTAACATACTTTAAAGCTGGGAATTTATGGCAACTAAAAGCGGGTCAAGCAGACTGCAGGTCTGCGATATTACCTGAGGCGAATGTTCATTTCAGGCTGTCCTAATTTCTCAGCGATTTTGTCTTGCAGATCCCGGAAAGAAGTTTCTAAAGGCACTCTCAGTGCCATGGTGTATGTATAGTGCACCTTGA